AATTATTTAGAATAAAAATTAATAATGATTGCCAATAAATTTTTGAATTTTGAAATTTATTTTTTAAAAAAAATGCAATAGGTTTGATATATTTCAAGAAAAATGTAGAGACCAATCATAGTAAGGTCAATAATGGTAGAATTTATTCTAAATAATTATAATAATTATCAAAGTTATGCAATCTTTATTGTGCCTCTATGATTAAAAAAAATTAAAAATTTTAGCTCATGTTGGAAACTATAAACTAGATCAAAAATTTCCTTTCTTGTTATCCTACGTGGCAATCAGGATAATTAGGTGGCAATAATAACATCATTATGGGAATAAAGTTTGAAAGTGAATCATATTGGGAATATTTTTTAGAAAGAGTGTTATTTTAGCAAAAACTCGTTATACATTAATAAGAAGTCAATTGCTAGGTTGAATTAGATTTTTATAGTGGTAAAAGATTTCCTTGAGAAAAATAAGGAACTATTTAAAATGTTGAAGTTCTTGAAAGTCATTAACAATTTATTGAACAAAAATGCACAAGGCATATAAAACATATGAGTATTAAATAATAAAATTGCAGAGCTTGGAATACCTTGCTCACTTGCTAGCTGCCTTAAACCTGGATAATAGAGTAATTATGGTAGGAAATTTTCTATCTCATATTGTAAATGCAGCATTACGTGATATGAATGAATGAAAATTTCTTTCTTTCAAAAAAAAAAAAAATCATCCATCAGAGAGTACAAAACTTGATATTTATGTCATTAGTTCTCGAGTTATGTCTTGTCTCTTTGATGTTAATATTAATTATAGCTTCAAATTACAAGTTTTAGAAAAGATTGAATCTTTTTCCCCGGGAGGGAAAGTGATTTATATGGAAGGCAAATAATCCACGACTTTAAATTTATTGTTGTAAGTAATATTTAGATAACTTTTGCTCCTAGCAATCATTCAAATTTCTGTCAATAAACAACTCTTGTCCATTGAAAACTAAACATCCTTTCTCAACATCATAAAAATCAACTATAGCTGTCAACAATGTGGACAAATGATTAGGAGGATCCACAAGCTTTAATAAGTTCTTGAATCCACGTCCAACTAATCATGGCTTTACCAAATCAGGAACTTTCTTTGCGACATTTGAAACATTTTGTATAAAATCAATAAGGTGTAATACATTCCTCCTACTACAAAAGTAATTGAAATCAAATTAAATAAATATAACTTAAATAGAGGAATAAAGACATTTTATAAAATAATCGCTTTTTGTTGAACATAAAAAAAAAATGAAATGAATAGCAACATATTACATGGATGTTATAAAATTATTAAATTATTTAGGTGTAATTTCATAAACCTCCCCTGAGGTTTCTAATAATTTCTCTTATTACCCTTAAAATTTAAAAAATATAATTTATCTCCCCTATTTTCAAATTTTTGTAACATTCTTAACCCAATTCAAATTTTATGATTAAAATACTCATTTTAAGAAAGAGCAAAAATTTCTTTCCAACAATGCCCTTTCATTGCCTTAATTTTTTTTATTGTAAGTATAATAATCATACGTTAAAAATCAGGACAAAACGTATGAAGATGTTCTTTTTGAAAGGAAACATATAATAATTGCAACCATAAATAATATGCTTTTTAAAGTAGAAACAAATAATAAAATTTTATTTAACATGTTTTCAAATGACAAAGTAATTTTTTTTCATTTAAGGTTTGTCTATTTGGTACTCTAAAGTCACATAGTAAGAAATAAACCCGATATTATTGTTATTATCTTTTGACAAAAATGTAGATTTCTTCTACAAAAGTGTTCCAATTTAGAAGACTAGTTATAATTTAAAAACTTCAGTATTTGTCCAGCCTTTATTTATCCATATGTTTACCACATGCCCTTAGATTATCAAATGACAAAAATCTTTCTTTTTATGTAACATATTTTGATTGAATTTAATAAATTTTACGAATTGTTTAGAATCTTTAATTTTATTTATTTGAATTAATGGCTTGAAAATTTAGAAAAGGGAAAAAAATACATTTAGAATTTATTTGAGATGTTTAGAAGATGAAAAAAATTATTTTTCATATCTTTACAATATTTCAAATAGTTTTTACATTCTTTGTTAATTATTTATGATTTTTCAATTTAAAATTTTGTCTCCATATTATAGATAAGATTTGTTAAAGCATTTCTCAACTCTAAACCTATAATTTTTTACTAAAAAATACATCCATAAAGTTTTCAAACATAAAAGGATTTTAAATTGATTTTGTCATTACAGCTAAGGGATCACAATAAAGGGCAACTTTGGAATGAAATAACTTTCTCTTGAAGAATTGGATTGAGAATGTTACAAAAATTTGAAAGTAAGAGGGTAAGTGATATTTTTAAAATTTTAAAAATGTTAAGTGAAACCATCCAAAACCTCATAGGAGATTTCTGAAATTATCCCAATTATTTACCATGAATTACAACTTGTTTAAAAGGATGGAGTGTTATTTGTCCCTTGGGTTATAAGACTGCATTCTCCTCATGAATTCATAAGCAAAGGAACAACTTGATTTGCCCTAATTAATAGCAATTATTATTTCTTGCTTCTGTCCTACAATAGTTAGACAAAAAAAAAAAAAAAACCACTTACCAGCTTAACAATATGCTGGTAACTAGGGAGGGACAGCCCGCGCGACGCGTGGGAATTTGGTGCTTGTGATTCAAGATAATTAATAATTATTGTTTAATATTTTGTAATATAGGAACTGAAGTATGATGATTTTATCATGTGATTTTAATAGAAAAATCATAAGTTACATAGTGAGTCAATAAAAATAATGTGCAATGAGACATCCTTATCGTTATACTATATAAGAATCCGTTGTGATCAAAGGTTATGTTTGAATTTCAACTGCAAAGATAAGGGTAGTTTGAAAATGTAAGAATGTTTGAAGTGCGATTGAAAAGTATCTAAAGGTCTCCTCAAAAACTTATCCAAGATGATAAAACATTTTAAAGTATCAATTGGACCCTTCATCTCTCGAATCTATATATGTTTCGTGAAAGATCCCTCAAGCAATGCTTCTGATTTCTCTCTCGACTTAAACTCAATTTGAATTATCAAGTCAAGTTTATCCATCAATCACTTTGCGTCCAATCTAATCTAAAATAATTTTATTTTTGACAAACTATTTATATAATTGGTGGGTATAATACGACTTAATCACATGTTTCTTACAGAGATAATAATGCCAAAAAATAATAGATAGATAAGAAACTTAAGTGGTCTTTTTCAAAGTTTTGTAGAAACTATTCAGATTTGGTGTTTTTTGCTAGGGGCATTTCTTTATAATCTTATAAATAAGTTCAAATCTGCATAATTGTTAAAGATCTGAATTGAAACTATCTTGATTATAAAAAATTGGTGCAAATAATATTTTCTAAATTTGAAATTGTAGAAAATGGTAACTAAAATCAAGAAATTCCTCATATGAATTCGAATTGCAAACTATAGGTAGAAACTGCTTAATGATATTTTCCAATGTTTACTTGTATAAGTATTCAATATAACATCTCTACTTAATTGACTCGTTTGAACTATGGATAATAGCTGCTTCAATCAAATCAATAAACATTATTTATCATTGTACAACATACAATTATGAGTAAATGAATTAATACAATGCAATCAAAATGGTGCTGTAGCTAAAGCATTTAAACTCATCAAGTTCCACTACAAATTCTTTTAGATAGCATAAAAAAACAAATTTTTTGTATTTGAAACTATATAAATGGTATAATACAAGAACGAGATCATAACATGGAAAGCAAATAGAGTGTAAATGACATCTTAGTACTATGTAGCATGATTAATTTTCTTTTTTAGTTTCAATGAAGTACAAAATTCTAAGTTAATAAATTTTACAATCATAAAATTCCCAATTAAAATAAACACAAGCTGAATTCCAAATCATATTACATGAAAAAATAACTACTTGAACCATAACTGCTAGAATGTAGTCAAAAGATCCCTGGAGTCAAGAATAATAGGAGAAAGTTCATGAGAAATAAGGTTATTTGACTTAAATAAAGAGATAATACCTTGGCTGAGGAGGAGAAGATGATAAAATTGCTTTTCTGATTATTTTAGAAAGTGACAACATTATCTCAAATTGTACTTTGACCAGAGACAGAATCTCTGGGATCTACTAAGAAAAACAATACAATTAGTCAGTTTTTGAAATTAGAAGTATCAAAAGGCAAACTATATGGAGTTCTTGAATAAACCAATCATCAGAAAAAAAAAACTACAATCGAAGAAGACAAACCCAAATAACTCACCTCAATTTAAAGGAAAAGCTATAAATTCCACCAAATATTTAATAGCCATAATAAAATCAAAGAGGTGAAACCGAAAAAAGAAAGGGTATCGGCTAAACATGGGACATAAATATGATAATTGATTGTTCAGATAATAATTAAGTTAATTAATTGTAATTAAAATCCAATTATGTAACATCCAATTAATTCCTTAACAGATGAGAAAGGTTTTAGGAAATTGGAAGGCTTGGATGTTAGTATAACAAATGATTAAAAGGACTTTTATGTAATTTTATCAAAATACAAGCTTTATTCATTTGTACTTGATACTCAATTTGGTACCAAACATTGTAACATACCAAACCTACCCCTAACCTTAAATGTCTGAAAGGTCATATAAGTAATTATAGTGAAATTAAAGTTATAATGACTTGTACTCAATGTTCCAATAACTCTTCAAACACTCTCACATTCCCAAAATAGCCTCATCCCTACGGTTGAAATCTAGTTCTAAACTCGTTTTTATATAGTATAAGGATTCGCTCCTTTTGTCCTACAAATTGTTAGAACAAAAAAAAAAAAAAACCACTTGCCAAATTATGATATCTTGATAGTAGCAATGATTGAAATCGAATCCATCTAGTTTTTTCTACCAAAAAAAAAATGCTTAACAAGTTCGTGGGTTTTTTTTTTCTTTTAGGAAAAAGGCTTAACAAGTCCGTCGGTAGGTCCAACAAATTATAGGGAGTTGAACCAGATAAAAAGATGAGCAGGGGATTCATAGCTTCCCCACCACCACCATCAGTGGTGGTATCGCCACCTCGTATTCCATCGAAGCCCCTCCAACGATGTGGCACTTACCAATCATGGAGTTACTCATCTAAATCTGTTCATTCCCTCTTCTTCTGGGATCTCAAGCTTAGTAAAAGCGGGTCAGAAAAGCCTTCAAGAATCAGCTTCTTGAGATGCAACAGTAGCACTGGCCCTGGTGGTCCTCCTGGTCCAGGTATCACTTTTCATCTATAATTGCCGCATATTCACGCTTAATTGTTGATTTGGTTTTGTGGGTTTTCGGTAAGAAGAAGAATACTTGTTTCAGTTGAGTTGCTATTTTGTGTTCATTGGTTTCAAAGGGTTTATATTTTTGCGCATTTTGGTTTCGGGATGAGTGTTAGGTGAAGGACTGTAATTTGCTGCTTTAAGCAGCTTATCTTTCTTCAAGATAATTGCATTTCTTGAAATTCATTGAAATGTTTTAGCCTGCTAAAAGTTGGAAGTCTTAGAGCTGAATAAGTGTGGATGATGGTTATTCCCTGAACTTTGAACGAATGCATAAAACATTAGTCTCACAATTGTTTTATCTGCTTCCAAAGAACGGTAAAAAAAGAGTATGAGATACTTACCAGAAAGGGATCGCTAAGAGGGTGTAATTTGCAGCAGATTATTATTCAGGGCATCAATCTTGAAACCTACTAATTACTGTACAATGTACAAGACAAAAATTGCGCGCTCTTAATAAATATCTCCCTGGCTTTCCACTAGCTAGTACCATCTCAATTCTCGAGTCTGCTTCTTAAAAGGATAGTTGGAAAAATTGCCTCTTGAAATGCTGTCTGATGGAGTTTGTGTTAATTCTCCTTTCCAAAATCATTGAGATACTCCATAGTTTCTGTGAGCATTATCACAACGGGACAACAGGTTAAATAGGTTGAGGGACTTTGTTGTTCTTTACTGTTCTTGTCCTAGGTTTTCACTCCAACTATATATACTAGCTGACTATTAGAACTTCAGATTTCTAAATGCTGTTAGCTCTACTCTGAATAGTTTTGTTTTTAAAGGCCTAGGAATTTATCTATGTGCAAAATTAGGACAGAAGATTGTCTTTTCCTTTGTTGTCACATTTTCAGGATGGATATGTAGGATAGTTTGTTTAGTTCTTGATAAGGGGTGGGTTTGCTAAGCAGTAATTTGAACATCATGGAAATCAATTTTGAATGATTTGTAAGAATGAGTTTGGAAAGATTGTAAAGCTTGGGCTTTATGTGCCACGCATGACGAAGATAGGAATTGCAACAGTTTCTTCTTCTAAACCGATTTGCTTGGTTGTATGTTCCTTTTCCCAACTTCAGGACAATTGTTTTCTGCTTTGTCTTGAAATGTCTTTCATTCTGGTTACCATTGCATACAGAAATTTGATCTTGTCTGTTTTCTTAATTTTCTTTTTGGTTCTTAATGGATTATTTTTCCCCTGATATGCATCCATATTTGCTCATGTGAAATGTTGTTGATCTGAAAAATGGGGAAAAAAATAAAAGAACAAAGCTCAGACATGGAATTTCTTATAACCTAGCGAATTTCTAACGCATCAATGTCCTAGATGAAAGTAATAGATTGATTGTTGTTTCTTTGCTTTCTTTTGTTGTTAATTGCGATGTGATATCAACTCCATCATTATCTTTCTATGTCGTTCTACTAGATGCTCTGTCTGTGTGTCTTATACATTGTGGTAATGCCTTGCAGAAATTTATAATGCAATTCAGCCTGAGAAAATGCTTTGACATCCCCCCCCCGCTTCTCCCTCCCCCTTTTCCAGCTGGCAAAGAATTTTTCTTGGTTTTGAGATCTCTTCCTTTGCCATGAGTTGAAGGTGGTTCATGCTAAACAAATTACAAGTTGAAGATAGTCATACTTCTGAGTCAAAGACCTTTTTCCCTGCTGCAACAATGACTTGAAACTGCTTAATTTGGCAGGTGATAATGACAGCAAAACCATCCTTGATGCATTTTTCCTTGGGAAGGCTCTAGCAGAGTCAGTTAATGAGCGTATAGAGTCTGCTGTTGGTGAATTTCTGAGTGCCGTTGGCAGATTGCAAGCGGAGCAACAAAAGCAGGTTCAGGACTTCCAGGTACAATGTTGTTTACATCAGACTTAGCATAATAGTTTTAAAAGCATTATGTTTTTGATATCTCTTGTTATTCTCGGGCTGGCAATAGAACTTTACAATGAACAGTTTTCTCTGTAGAATGCACATGTAGTATATATATAAATTGTTGTCTTCATCTTTCTTGACAATGTTTATGGGAAATGGTAGCAGGAACCTCCTGGCTAAGTACATGGAGCTCCACAAGTAAAAGTATATGGTATTTTTCCTTAGACTCATAGGTGGCACAAAGAGTATAGGAATGATCTTTATGTGCATGGGAAAAACATAAACATTTATACAGTACTGAACTTGTTCAAAAGGGCACAATCTGAACATAATTCTATCATGCTTGAGGGTCATTCTCACCTTACTGTGTGTTAAATTGGTCTTGAGTAATCTTGGTAAACTGAATTGAGCAAATAATATCAATAGCTACTCCAGTAGATGTTGCAACCTGCGCTTAAGAATGTTTTGAGATTTTTACTGAGTCATACCTTCTGTTATCTCCTACTAATGGAGTTGGCTCTCTTTTTAATCAAAGGTGCCACTTCATATAAAATAGAGAAGATACTTGAGCAATTGAGCTTTCAACATATCTGACGTTTCTCTCCAACTGTTAACCAAGTTTGTACTAGAATTGCCATATAGACTGGTGTAAAAGATAGATTGCCTCCTGTTATCTGGCAACAGCTTTTCAAGGAACATAAACAAATCAATAAAGAGGAGAGCCATTGTTGAAGTCCACTGCATTGCTTTTTCCGTTGCTTTTCTTGTTATTTCATACTGAGGAAAGTTGTTGACTGCCCATATAGTCTTCTTAATTCTCTGTTTAAGTTGATAATGCTGTATAGTGATTGGACAGTTAGTGTAGCCAGTTGAAATACTCATGCCATCAGCTAACTAAACAACTTTACATGCAAGACCAAGTGCTATTGACTACAGTAGCCTCCGTAATATACCAAAATGCTGTGACAGAAGCCCCAGCTGGATATAATTGTAATCTTTTCTGTGTCTTCTATTTATCTGGATGCCTTTACATCAGTCTGGTGGAGGTGATTTGAATTAATTTTGATGACATTACCTTCTCTTGATAACATAGGCAAGAACCATTGGATGAACAATGCGGTTGCAACAATAGAAGTCCCAATGACCCAATAGTCGTGTGCAAGTTTTATTTTGACATGTAGTTTACTCCAATATAGGCAACTCTAGGACAGTGTCAAATGCCGCCTCTCTTTTCTGCTCTGGTAATTAACAGAAACACTACCGTTTTGCTAATCAAAGACTTGCAAGAATGTATAGTGTAGAAGCTAAGGAGAACCTGGAAGTTAATGGATGTATGATACTTGCAAGATTTTTGAAGGGAAACTGTTAGGTGATCTAAATTGGGACCAGCCCCAAGAATGAGAACTGTATGAAGTTGCCAGCATGATTAGTTGACTATAAACACTTTGCAGAATGCAAGCTTACTTATCAAGATTTCAAAGTGACTGCCTAAACCATTTATTACAAGTTTTTTTTTCTTCACTCCATTGATATTGGTACTCTTACGAAATTGTCTTCTGGAAAATGGTTCTGAAGCAATTTGATGGTCTTGCAGGAGAAGTATTAGAAAGAGCTAAAAAGGCCAAAGAGAGAGCTGCGCGTGAGGCTATGGAAGCACAAGGAATTATTCCCAAATCGACATCAACAAATATACCACCAGTAACTAATGGTGTTGCTTCAGAAATCACACAATCTGCTGTCAATTCTGTAACTCCTGCAGACAAAACTGTGCAATCAAATACAAGTCCGCGACCTACAAACGATGATCCTGTTTTAGGGCATCAAATGAGGACTGATTGCCTATATGTATCTATAAATGTTTTAATTGTTAACTTATTTTGAAAATCTTCATCTGTTATCTACTGTGCCTGAAAAGTTGTAGAAGATATTTTAGCCTTTGTTCATCCGTTCTAGTATAATACATTGGATGATCCTAAAAAACATAATTGCAAGGAATTATCTACACAAAGAATACTTTGATATAAACTTTGACTGCATTTCAAGTGAAAAAGGAAGATTCCAAACCTTATAAGAGAGAGAAAAGGGACGATTGGAGTTGAACAAGGAATGTCATAAATATAATTACCTAAGGTACCTTATCAAGCGGTTCTGGAAACAATTGAAGAACTACTTTCTTTTGCATATTCCCACTGTAATTTGAACTAACGATAGAAATAACACAATAATAGGTTGGTAATTAGGCCATAACCATTTCTAATGCATCATCTTCTATGACACATCCAATCATGACTCAATCAGCCCAATGTCAACCTTAACAGTACTGGTTTGTGGTTTTGGTTGTTTTTTCCCCACTGATCATCAAAGCCATTTAATTGCAACAGAAGTTTTGTTCTCAATGACCACCTGATGGCAAATTCCATAAAAGCAAACAAACTTTGCTAATGGACAACTATACCGAATCCGTGGTCGGCCAGCAATAAACTGCTTTCACATATCCTTATTCTCCACTCAGTGTATGTTATACTCCATGACTCATTAAGCATCCTCCAGAAGCTAACTTCAATTTATAAACTTGTGAATAATTGTTTTCTATTTGCAACTTGCACTTTGCCCTACTGGATGAGAATCTTTTGGCTTTTTTTTTTTTTGAGGAAATGCAATAATCAGAGTCAAAATTAATATATAAACTAGGTAAAGCAAAATATGAGACTAATGAGAACTCTTTAGTTGTGTATTTTAAGTGCACAAGATTTAAAAAAAAAATTGATAACAATTCTTTTATTATGTGCTTTAAAGATACAAGATAAGAAATGTTTCAGTGCCACTTTTAGGGAGAGGGTAAACATTTTTGCTAAAGTGTGTACTCATATTTTATGTTTTGGATGATAATTTTAGAAATTTGATAGTGCATCCACCTTTTTTTTTTTTTTTGGTGTACTTGTCTTGTGCCCATAGGACACTAAATAAGAAACACAATTAATAAAGTTCCTTATCTCAACTAAAAAAAGGAACTTTCATGACAGTCAAAAGAACAAATCGTGTATTGAAATCACATATGCATCTACTCCTTGATCTTAGCCAAAATGCTGAGAAAGTCCGTTGACACAAAAATGTCAACCAATTTCTGCAAGAAAGTCCTAGTTGTTTATTTAGTTCATTATTCTTGAGTTGAACTTTTAATGAGTTTAATGCTTCATGACCAAGGTACTAAAATTTAGAACTAGCTTCTATTTTGTATGGCAAGGAATGCTTAACTGGGGTGGGGTTTACATATTAGCTTGCACTCTTTTCATAACTGCTCTTTATATTAGAAGAAGTGTGAGATGTGATAATACTTGTATCATGGGATACTTCAAACGGTTTCCTTCTTGTATTGGTAAGAACTTTAGGGTGTAAAAGATCTAAATCAAAGATTAATATTATATAATGAGCGAAGATGTAAGAACATCATTTGTGTAAATTGAAACTAGTCTGACAATTAATTGAATAGGAAAAATTCTTGGGTATTTATGTTTGTTTTTGCAGCAGCAAAATATTATATATTTGATATACAAATGAATGGAAATCTTTGAGGAGGCACGTATGTTTGATTTAGTTTTTCAACCTTAACACTAGCATACAAGTTCAAACTTAGATTGCATTCCATGCAAATACTTAAACTTTTCTTTTCTGCCTCACAAACAATTGAAAGAACTTAATTTTCTCTTCCTAATAGATTGTATAAAAGTTTCTTCTCTTCTCATTAACAGTTTTTTTTTTTTCCTTTTTTAATTTCCCTTTCTTAAGGTTGAAAACTAGGCTTCAAAACCAACACCTTGTGATTCCAAATTCTTTATAAATAACTTTTCCTCCTATTCTTCTCTCAAACCTTTTCATTTCCCTGTTTTTCCTTGTAAGGTTTAGGAGTCTCTCCTTTAAATTAACAAAAAAAAAAAAAAAAAAATCCCCTTAATCCTCAATTTCTGGGTTTTTGCAATCAAAAGCATAGATACCCTTTTTTCATTATATCTTCAATGTACATCATGTCATTCTCCCCAAGAAGGCATAATTTGGGAGCATTCTCCCAGCATAGATACCGCTGTTACTAATAGTGGATTCTCAGTATCAGCATTCTCAACATAAAATCATTACTATGAAGGCCATACATTTATTGTAGTAGCATTAATTCTCCATGCACCTTACCAATTAATGTTTTTGCAAAACTTGAATAAGTAAGTTTATAATGGATTTTTTACCTTTATACCACATAATGTAATTTGCATACTATAAGAAAAAAGTGAATTGATTTGGGAGGTTGATAAGAAAACAATTAAATGATTATAAAGATTAAAGATTATTGCCTTCAAAATTCAATAAAGCATAGAAACTTAAGATGATGGCTTAGAATCTCTTGGTGGTCAAAAATTTCAAGGGTGAAAATTGAATATATAATAAAGAAGAGTGCAATATACTCAGAAACTCAGTAGAGTAACTTCCAATATACACGTAATCTTACTGTAAACGCTTTCATGACACTTGAGAATATTTAGATGTGGCGTACAGGAAGCTTAAGCCCTCGATGCCTGTGTAAAGTGCCAAAATAATTCTTCAAATGTGCCGTTATGATCGGTGACAAAAAACCCTAATTTATTAACTAAGAAACGTGGAAAACATCAAAACAGCACAATTAGTCAAACATATTCAACACCTAGATTTGTGCTAGTTTTCATGATTTTCCACCTTAGAATAACCCTTCATGTTACGTAAACCAACTCTATATATAGGTCCATGTACCATTTATAACCAAGAAAATACGAGCTCATTCCTGTTTCATAGCGTATATAATTTATATATAGAAGCAAGCAATATTGTTGAAGATGGAGAGAGGTGGGGCTTTGCTCTTCTCTCTTCTAGCTCTAGCAATGAGCTTGCACATCGGATATTTGCGCGCCGCCGTGACACTACCACCGGAGGACCGTCCGCTAACTCGCCATTTTTATAAGAAACTGAATACGTGTGCGAATGTGGAGGCATTTGTG